TTTTTTTTTTTTTTGCAACATGCTTTAGCTTTGTTCGTTTTTGTTTAGATAGATTTATTATGTTTTTCATCCTTTTTTGTTTAGTTATTTTTGTTGTGATTTTATTTGATTAGAATGAACCGGTAAATTGAATATTTTTTCTTTGCAACATGCTTTAGGTTTTGTCGTTTTTGTTTAGTTTTATTATTTTTTCCATCATTTTCTGTTTAGTTGTTTTTGGGGTGTTTTTTCCATTGTAATAAATCGGTAACTCCGTGACAAATCCGATAATAAAAAATACGGTATTATACTACCATATATATAAAATAGTGAGTTTTATATTAATAAGGAATAATTTTTTCCACAACTATGTAAAGAAATAAAAAATATAAATAAAATCTGGTAAGTGAAAATTTCCCCGTTCGCGAACGGAGAAACCCAGTTTCCTCGTGCGCGCACGGGGAAACCCGGTTTCCCCGTGCGCGCAAGGGGAAAACCAGGTTTCCCCGTGCGCGCACGGAGCTATTAATATAACCTGTTTTCATTATACACCGTCCCTGCTAATTTCCCTAAATTACTGTGCTAATCTCCTTTACCGCCGACCCAATTTTCTCTGCTTTCCACTCCCCGAGTTTCAATCTTGCCCAAATCTCCTCGGTTGTTCTATCCGCCGGCTTCTCTTCCTTTCGTTTCTGTTCAAAGAGAAGGGTTCCGTTCCTGTAGCAGTCGCTGCCGTGACACCACATCGGCCCCGAAGAAGTCGCCTGTCTTCCCCCAATCACCTGTCTATTTTATCAGCAAAAAATTGTACCACCAATCTTGTACTCCTTTTCTGATCAAGATAGTAGAGTTCGTTATTATGCCTGTGAAGCTCTGTATAACATAGCAAAGGTGAGGGACTAAACACGAATCTTGTAATTTGTGTCTTTTCTTCTTTATTACGTATATCAATTTTGGATTTCATTAATTCTTGCTAATTTGCAGGTTGTGAGAGGAAATTTTACAGTGCTCTTCAATCAGATTTTTGAAGTTCTGTACAAGCTTTCCATCGATTCAGATCCCAATGTACAAAGCGCTACTTACCTTTTAGACAGGCTTGTAAAGGTAGATAATTTTCATATTCTGGATATTCATGTCAAGTTTTCTTTTGTATTTTTGTTCTTTTCTGTTTTCAAAGATCCGAAAGTGATCTTTATCAAATTCGAGAAGGTATAAATTTGTCCCTTGTTTATTTAAATTTCTTTATGCTCAATTTCAATTTCCATTTTGCTCATGCACTGCTATTGGAAAATAAATCTTATAATCTTCACTTTTTTTATTCCCGGTCCTAATCTTTATTGCTATATTTTAAGGTAGCCACATTTCTTTAGTTATTTCTGTTCCATGTCCTGTTGGTCCTGCTAGGTATAAACCTGAAGGTATCCATAACTGTCCCGTGCTTTTGTATTTCTTGAGTAGATACACCATCAACCATTCTAATGATGTCTATTGATACTTTTGCTTTGATTTGCTTATGTATTGCTTGGTTATGATGAGGATGTACATATTACTACGCTGGATTATTTTTTTATAGCGAAAGAACCTGTGGAGGAAAATCTAAATTCTTAATCTTTTCTTTTCATATACCTGTTCAATATTCTCTTTAGTACTGGTTTCTTTACTTCCCATCTTCAAATTCCTGAGATTTAGGTTCAATTGTTCTCTGATTCTTGAAACTGGCAGTATGTAATGAAAAATGTATTATAAGAACTGTATTCTACATGTTTGCAGATATGGGAAGTATTTATTAAAAAATTAAGCAAGTAATGGTAATATTGCCTTCTAATTTCATTATTGCTTGTTATGATAAGTTTTAGTGCTGAAAACCTTTGGTAGCATTTAATTAAAATTGTAATTTCCTGCAGTGTATTAAATATTGAGTGATTTAAAAAACTTTATATACTGTTTTTTTTACTGTTGATTGGTTGTTTTATTGATGTGGTAACTACTGGTAACTTCTCATTATTTTTCAAGATGAATGCAAACGAGTGTCAACTGAGGGCCAAGATTTGAGATTAGATCTATCAAACAAGTTTCAGGATGCAATCAAGGTTACGATTCATTTAAGTAAATAGTCTTATTCTGCATCATTCCTGCTAATAAATTCCTATCACATTCTGTTTAATCTCTAATTTGCATTCTGATGCGATGGAGGTGGAATCGATGCGCCGATGGTGGTCGAGCCGACTTCTCTTAAATGGTATGTTATTCAGTGGCCTACAATATGAATGGAATTAGTGAAATTTCTTAATTCCAGCAATTCCTATGTAGCTAATTTTATGGTTTATCTATGTATTGAATCAAGTTTTAAATTTGGGGGCAAATACAATCCATCGGCGCCGATTGCTCTCTGCGCTGCGCTGCTACCCTCCCATGTAGAACCCTAGCCGTGTAGGGGAGAGCTCGGAAGTACAGGTGCCACCCGTCGAGGAATTGGATCAATTTAAATTGAAGGTTTTTTTTTTAATAGTTTTGGGTTCCGTCTTTAATTTTCTGTCTCCTGGTTTTTTCTTCCTTTTTTTCTATGTCCTTTTTGGAGAATTTTTTTTGTGAAAAGGTTTTATGGGGTTTGGTGTTCTTGATTATTAAAATGTGTGTATTTTGCTTGTTCGATCCGTCTTATAAAAGTTTCTGGGTAAGAAGGGTTTCGAACATTAATTTTCTTTCAGTTGTTTTTTCATATTTTTGATTCTGAAAATCCGAGGAGGTGATGGTGATTTATGTGTAGTACAACGGTTAAAGTTGGTGCTAAGGTTAATAGAAGTGTGACTGCAGAAAATCCAATCTTCATCATCTCTTCGACGCCAGTTTCCAATCACATGTAATTTTCTTTACAATTTTTTTCATACCTTGAATATTTGGTCACTCTCCAGTTAGAAATTGAACTTTTTCTTATTTTCAAGTTTTGCAATATTTCCCCTTGTAATTATTATAATTACCAGATTGACTGATAAAAAGAATAGAAAAAATGATGACTTCTACGTGAAATCTTGAATGTTAAATCACGCATATATGTATTTATACTTAGAAGTTATATTTCCTATTTTCACCATTTTAGATTTCAGACACAACCCAAACTTTTCAGTGATTTAGTCCAGGATCGTGCTGCAAGAATTTTTTGTAAAACAAAAAAAAAAAAATCTTATAACAATCTTACTCGAGAACTGATAAAAATTTTGAGTTATGCAGATTACTATTTTGTTAACTGTTAGGTAGTTTAATTGTGGCATGCAGGCAAGCGGAAACGAATACAATGCAATCTTCACAAGCTAATGATTTTGGGGTCCTTGAGCAATATCTTGGATTCCAGATTGGAGATGCTGCTAATGTCAGTCACAGTATGTTTCATAAATCTTGTCTTTGTCTACTGTTAGTTCTGATTTTCATGTTCTTTGTTCAGAGTTCTATCTTCATTAAGCATTGAAAGTTTCCCCAATTTGCAAAAAATAACATTTTCAGTTGTTGACTAATCATTGATGGATGTGAATTACGAAGCATAGGTTGACAGAAAATGAAGGGTAGACTGAACCTTGATAGTGAAATAGTGAACTACGCTCTAATTAGATGAAATCTACATTGTCACATGTATTCTTATCTTTCTAAACATTACCATAGCATTTCCAATAAGTCATGGCAAGTTTAAATCTTGATCTAGGCAGACTTATTCCATATTGTCTCAAATCTTTAGGAGAGTGAAGTATGCTATTTTTGCAAGGTAATTTAGTACTAAAGTTTGATGACAGAAACTCATGCCAAGAAGGGCAAGACAAAAAGGTACTGGAAGGGGTGGGAGGGGAGGGGAGCAATAAATTGATCTAGCTGGAACCGTGAAAGCTCATGTTCTTTTACTTCATACGCTAATATTACCTCCAACAAAATTCAAGCAATGCATTGCATGGCCGTAAAACTAGTAGTCATTAGAAGATTTTAAAAGAAACTACAAGATTACACGCCCTCCTCCGTGTAATAATTTTGAACCATATACCTTATGCCAAAACCCCGTTCTTGCAAGGGCAACTAGACCAAAAAACCCTTTGTCAAAACTTGATTGAACTTTCCAAAAAGAGAAAACCCTTTGCTAAATAATTATTCGATCTTTCTGTTACATAATCTTGGAGTGTTTACAGTGACAGGTTGTATATTCAAAAGAATTATGTTAAGTATACATTTCGTGAACGACATCTTGGTGTATATTGTGTTCAAATTCAAAAAGCGTAGGACGAAAATTGTATTATTTTTAAAAATTGTCCATCATGTGCCAACACGTGACACATTGTCAAAAATGATGTAAAATCAAATGTATATGTAACATAATTGTAATAAGAAAGGTACAAACATTTGACATTCACTTGTTTTGTCTTTTCGCCCCTCTGGTTTGTCTCATTCGAGAAGACGATTACCTTGCACGTGCATGGAGACCCACATCATGAGCCCAAGAAGGAAAAATAAAAACGAAATGGAAAGCCCATTTTATACAGTTTTTAATCACTTTCACTAAATTTGAATACGAACGCGAAGTTGAGGGTTTTGGCATTCCACTCCTATACTAGTATACTCGTAAGAGGATAAAAATGAAGAGCACACATTGTTTATGATGAAGCGTATGGTAACACAGTATATGAAAAGTGCATGTACGATTCCTAAGGGATATAATTTAATACAACCAATCTTGTACAACCAATGATAAAAGAATATAACCAAATACAAGAAGAACAATAGTGCATAAATTAACATCCTAGGTTATGTCCTCTCTATCTTGCCTTTTTCCTTCTCCATCTATTCTTTGCGAACAAAATTTCAGTTGCAAGTAGTGACGACAAAAGGGTATACAACTCAAAATCCCTGGGTAAATAAGCCATATCTTAAAGCTGCTACTCCCCATTCACGTATTTCTTCTCAGCGTAATACTTCTTCTCACTTGCTTCCTTCTTTGCATTTCGTTTCTGAGGAAGATGAAAGGTGTCAATACCAGCATTCGTAATTAGAAAAGATCAGCTTACGAGCTTGTTTGGCGAAGCATAAATTTTAATAATCAGATCAAACATACTTTTTATCCACGCATGAGCTTTTTATCACCCACGACTTGCTACTCACTACACAGACATTCCATACGATCCACAGCTTAGAAGCACTTAAAAGTGCTACCATAGAAGCACTAATGGTCATGACAGTCAAAAACAAAATGCTAGAGGAAATGTAAAGCCGTCAAAAACAAAACATTTCAAACAGCTAAACAGTTAAAACGAGCGAAGAAAAAAGCATATTTCTAAAACCTTCAGTATGCCAAGTTTGTTACTACTATTAACATACGTGTGCCTTAGTTCATGCTTAAGTGGCTCTGTCAACTGTATTTGTCAACCAGCAAAATCATAGGTACAAACAGTTTGTGAGAAATCATCAATAAAATTCAACGAATGTACAGTAGAAAAGCAAAGAATACCTTATAAATCTCGTGATTGGCAATGATCCTTTGCGCTACAGATGTAGTTGTAACATCTTTGGGGCTCTCAATCATTCGGAAAATTCCCATGTTTTTGGGGACTGCATAGGGATCAGATGTTCCCTGCTTATATTACAAATCACTATTTCAACCCCACGATCCATTTCATCGCATATTAGCTGGAACTAAAGTAATATCACAAACAGAACATAGATCAACTTACGTTAAGCAAAGAGTTGTTCTCGGAAATTGTCCCATGCACTACCAGAGATATGTTGAAAGTCGTAATCTTTTCATGCCAAAAAAAAAAAGAACAAAAGCATAGAAAAATCATCAGATTCATCAAAATCAAGAGTGATGTAAGAGAACTTATTTAACACATTCAGCTAAGCATTTTCACTCCAAGACTGCCTCACCCACAACCCAAAAATAAATCGATTGACATTACTATATTTTCTCCACATTAAAAACAAAAATGCTAGAGCGGGGTCGGAGATAAAGCTCAGTGAAAAGTATTGAAATAAAATACTAAAGAAAACGGAGTGGTACACGTGAAATAATAATGATAAAATGGATGCAATATTTATAAGCAGCAAAAATGATGGCAGAAAACTTTTTACATGAGCAGTCAACAAAAAAATTCTAAACAAGTAAATTATACAGAAAAAGAAAATGGTCTATGAGAACTAGTTGGCAGCAAGAAGAATTTACTTGTCATAAAATGCAATCCAAGATTTACATTTTGACCTGAACATTACTTTAGGGATTGTTTGACAAAGCTTTTGATAAAAGTTTTTACAGATTTTAATGAAAGTTGATGAAATATGTGTTTGAAAAAGTGTGGATCCCATGAAATGTGTTGTTAAAATTAATTGTTGACCTTGATGTCAACTTTTTAAACTCAACCAAACAAGAACTTAATTATGGAACACAAATTTCCTCAAATTTACTCCAGTCATGAGAACCTAGAACTAAAAGCATGTATGTTGATGCTCTCTTCTTATTTGCTTAGAAGAAACATTTGCAGCAAACCCAAATAATAGTTTTAAGTTGTCAAAACATTGAGTTATATAAAAGGGATAATTACTACACCTGATAAATTAAAATATCAATAGAACTATTTGAGAAATTTCGAGCAAGATTGTCCTCTGCCCTACAAATTTTGATGAGGAGATCATCAATGAGGTAAATTTTGCAATTTGGTTTAGCTGATTCGTTAGTAAATTTTTTATAAACGTTGATGAAATGTGTGGTTGAAAATGAATTTGATAAAAACATGAATTTTAGAAAAATGGGGGCTAAACAGAGGGTTAACTTCCGAGAAGGTTTATTGGCAGTAATATGCAAGCTCAATATTGACCAGAAGGCAGGATATAGTCTAAATTATGTATCAGTTAAAAGACTTGAAAATTCAACACGGAAAATTAGAATTCCAGGAAACACACAAATTTTCATTAGAGGAAGCTAACAATGACTACATTAAATAAGGCCGTGATGAGTGCGGTCTTTTTATAACTAGCTTTGACGTATAAGCCCGAGATGCTTTTTACCCACAAGTGTAGAAGAAAGAGGTCAGTCTTGGTGCAAAAATGTCATGTAGAAGTCAAATTAAATCATGCTAAAAAGGCCATTGTCATTAGACCAATACGCGACCATTTGTAGGACAAAATTTCCAGTTCCAGATTAGCTTATTAGACCAACTGCACCCAATTTTCTTTACTTGTCTTGATAAGTATTACCATAGAAAACGACACCAGTTATTAAAAAAATTGCTTCCACATAGACTCGTGTAGCTTGAAAGAAGGAATAATTTCACAGGTACATAAGAAAAGGCGAGAGCTTACCGCATCCTTAGTAATTTCCCAAGGTGCACCAATAATAACCTCATCAACATAACGGCATGCAAGCACGCTAAGACTGCGTTCATGGAGATTCATAAGTGGGAATTGAGTCCCTCGGAGTTCACTGCACAAAAGTGAATATTGCTTCTCCTTATTTATTCTCGGTATTTCCAGTATAACCAAAATGGTGGGGTTGGAGATACTGATACTACTGTTTTTCACAATGGTAATTTTGCTAATGCGAGAAAAATAACACAAACACATTAACATACCTAACAGTATGGTCAGCATAGATACCAACTAAAAGAAAATCTCCAAGTTGTCTGGCACTCTTTAGAATCTGGACATTCACAAAGGGTAGCATAAAATACATTATATTATACACAATGGTGAATAAAGTTATTTGAATTGTAAAATTGTAAATAAGAGAAACTGTAGCCACAGGAAGTAGAAGATTAATGAGACTAAGGAATGTGGACCATGAGTCCAATGATAGTGAAGGATTACGCACTAAAGTACTCTCTCTTTACATTTACTTCTGATTAATATATGAATTAGATGCTATTGCCTCGTGGAATAAATAAATCTTTCTTGCATTTGGAACCAGGACAATTGAGCTTTATTATAATTAAGAAAATATAGATTAGTTAAAGCTATATCTTCACAATACCAAAATTTGGCGACCGCACATTAATTCGTGAAATTTAATTATGGAAGTTACATATATACCTCCACATGTCCGGCATGAAAAAGATCAAATGCCCCATCGATGTACACAACACGAGCATTAGGTCCAGGCCCCTAAAAATCAAACAAAACAACAGGGAATCACCAAAATAAGTAAATTTTAGAGTTATGTCTTAAAACACAAGAAACCAGTACTTTCCTCCATCAACACAATCTGTGATGTCATATTTATATCAAAGAACGTACGTAACATGTTAAGCCCTCATTTGGTTGCATGACCTGATTACCCTTATTTGAACAATTTACTATGATAAATAATTAAAAGAATAATCAATTATTTTTCTGACCATTAACTAGATAACCAAACAGAACCAGATTTTGATTGCCATATTTTTTTCTCATTAAACCATAAAAGATTATCTCAAACCAAACGGCGCTTTTTTCAGTTATCCAGTT